CCGAAAAACTACGCGCAAATGCACCTAGGGCAAATACTGCTTTAAACGCAAAGGATGGTCACGCCAAATGTTTATTTAATTTAGTTAATAGAAGCTAATTGATAAAGAAAATCTATTTATGACATAATCAGGTCTTTTGTTTCCTTTCTAGTGCTGTTGGAAGTCTGGTGGGAATTATGTCGGTGTATTGTCCGCTAGTGTGGATAACTGTGTAACTCAGAGCTGAAGTGGAAATGACAGAGTTCAGTGGCGACTCGTCTCTGTGCTGAAAGCCCAGCTGGTGTGTGCTAAATCTGCTGTGAGAAAAGGCCTCTCCATGCCCTTTTATGCAGCTCTCCAGCGCTCAGTCTATTCGGCCATTTAATTTAGGTAATAGAAGTTAATTGATAAGAAAATCTATTTATGACATAATTTTTGACAGCATCCTCATTTTACAGCATTTTTACACAAGTGCCTAAAACGTTTAACAGTAGCTTTGCAGGTAGGTTTCTTGAAGCATCTTGGAGACGTTGCCACAGTTCTTATATACATTTGTACTTTTTTATTTATTACAAAATGCAACTTTTCTTTTTTAATCATTGTCTATTATCTATTCACCCATTCATCTACATAAATATATGCAGCTCTCCAGTGCTCTGTCTATTCTGCCATTTGTGTGTGTGTGTGTGTGTGTGTGAGGGACCCCAGTCTGACGGATGTTAACACTCAGACAGGGTAAATTAAAGCTGAGAGCTGGGGAAAGTAATTAGTGCTTTTCTCTCTGTTCATATATACTCTAGACTATCTACATGTCCTCCCTCATATGATACTCGAAAAGCCACAGTATGGTAAAATGGGCCCTTCGTTATTGGATACGGGTATTACTTTTAGGTTACTGAGATATATCTGTTCATGCTCGCAAAAATATACAATACAGGGAGGCACGGGAATGTACAAACTGGTATATGTCACATAGTATTTCAGTATCCAGTTTAAAGATCACTTTTTACTATATGGTACATTCTGATTGTATGAACTGTGCTCTCTCACACACACACACACACACACACACACACACATACACACACACACACTTGTGACCGCATATCAGTCGATGTCTACAATAATGAGCCAAGTTGCTACATTGCTTGGCAACCGCTGTCAGCCTATTAGAACTATATTACTTCAGGGCAGAATTGTTTATTCTGATTAATTATTTTTTTAATTATATTACTGTTGTCACCATTTTATAAAATGTTTTTCATCATGCCTAAGATATCCTCTTATTGATGATAAAAGGTTTTTAATGGCCATTGTTTAATTTTTCTCAGAGAAAATTTGTCCTCATTTGCATTTTATTTTATTGTTCTGAAACTGGAAGGAGAAATAAAGTAAAAAGAAACCTGATACCTTTATTTGAGTATTGCAGCAAGGTAAAATATATTAAATTATAATTTCATATCAAAATTAATTAAAAATTGACTCCTTTTACTTTCTTAATGCATGTTCTTTGATATATACTGTGCACAGCAATATTTATTGTGCACAATTTATTCTAAATTGAAAAAGTCTCAACATACTTCATCAAAATGTTATTTAATCCTCTGAAATCATTTTTGTTTTTCACATTTTAGTCAGCAGCATAAAGCCATTAAATCATTGCCATCCTGATGGATAAAATTAAGTCCTGTCCTATACAGTTTTGCTCTTTGAATATATGTGTTGCTCAAAAATAAGTCATATTACGGAAGCAATATGGGCTGCAAACAAGAATACATGTTGACTTCATGTAAACAGATGCTCTGAACCTTTAAAAGGACAATTATATGACATTATATGAGTCATTATGTCAACATTGAAGGCTGTTTCATGAGCTCAGAGGGCTGTAAAATCACATCTAGCTACATTAGGATAAATGTTTCGGTTGCCATAGAGCTCTGCTTTTATAATATGGCTTTTATTGAAGACCTTATAGAGAACAATACAGTCTAAATGTGTTTATCTGAGACAGATGCCTATTCTGATTCAGGACCGTCTTGAGGTTTCTGTTGGTTCTGAAATCTGTGCTCAGTCTTTCTCCACAGGATCCTCAGTCAATGACGATTGAGGCTTTTGTCAGTTAAGTGTTAAAGCTCTGCACAGCATTTGACAGTCATTTCACACTCTTAGGGGTTAATTGGGATCTCCAGCACATCTGCAATTCTGTTCCATTAAAGGAAACGTTCAAGCAAGCACTTGACAGAACAAACAGACCTGCTAAATGAGCCTGATGTGTATCGATAGCTCTTTAAATGTACAAATATCACTATATATCTTTTTCTCCGTATCTTTGTTTCTCTGCCTCTCTTTTTTGCCTCTCTCCATCCCTCGGTCCCTACGGATGCTTTTGGTTTGCTCCAGCAAATGCATTAACCCCCTTTGTACGGTGACAAAGGGGTGTGTTAATCTCACCGAGTTAGGAGGCAGGCACATGGGGGTGGATGCCAGGGAGAGTCGAGTGACCGCGTATGTGTGTGTGTGTGTGTGAGGCAGATGCCTGTCAGAGCGTTCACCGGCCACACACATGCTGCACGAGCCAAAGAGAATGGTTAGCGAGATATACACTTGATACACACCGTGACCAGGAAAGGACTGCTGTTGACTCAGTATTAAGGTAACTCAGTATACTGTTGACTGCAGTATTAAGGTAATAGTGTTCTAGCTGTTAAAAATATTTTTTTTTTTACTCAGAATGACCCTTTGTTTAGTGTGTCAGTTAATTTGTTCTCGGTGATTTGATCTTGAGTTTTTTTTTTTTTTGGTATTTATTAGGGTAACATTTGTGTTTCTCACACCCTGTGGGTCAAAGTTACACCTCCAGGGTGAACTATTTCCTTTCACTTCTTTGACTCGGGTTTTGTGACTATAGTTCCTTAGAACAAACAGCATTTTGTCCATTGCATGGTACACACCTGGTATCACCTTACCTGTTAAAACCAGTCAGATTTGTCTTTGTGTGCGCTGATTTGTTTATTCTGAAGTCATAGTGTCTGCTGACGGGATGTCTGTAGGTTTACAACTAAAACCAAAGGTTTTATGACGATTTTTATGACGATTTTATCTGCCAATCTGTGATATGTTTAATATATTTAAGTAGAGAGATAGATATAGTCATGTATGTTGATGTAGGTGATATAGTATTTATTTACTGATCAGTATACAAAAATTTGTGTGGACGAATGGATGGATAAATTAATAGATGATGGATGGATGAAAAGAGAAATGGATGGATGGAAAAGAAATGAATAGATGGATAAATTGATGATATATGAATGGATGAAAAAGAAATTTATGGGTGGATGAATGGATAGATGTATGAAAAAGAAATGGATAAATGGATGGATGAATGGATGAATGTATGAATGTATGAAAAAAATAGATCAATCGATAAATGAATGGATGGATGGATGAAAAATGAATGGATGGAAAAATGGATGAATATTAAATGGATGAATAAGAAATTTAAGGATGGATAGATGGATGAAAAAGCAATGGATAAATGGATGGATGAATGTATGAAAAAATAAATAGATCAATAGATAAATGGATGGATGAAAAACAAATGGATGGATGGATGGATGGATGAAAAAGCAATGGATAAACGAATGGATGAATGTATGAAAAAAAGAAATTGATCAATAGATAAATGAATGGATAAATGGATGTTGGACGAATGGATGGATGGATGGATGGATGAAAAAGAAATGGATGAATGGATACATGGATGAATATATAAATGGATGAAAAAGAAATTGATAGATGAATGGATGAAAAAAGAAATGGATGGAAGGATGAATGGATGGATAGATTAAAAAGATGTGGATGGATTGATGGATTGATTGATTGATCGATGGATGAAAATAGAAATAGACAGATGGATGAAAATAGAAATGGATGGATGGATAAATGGATGAATGGATGGATGGATAGTTGAAAAATAAATAGATGGATGAATGGATGGATGGGTCGATGAAAAAGAAATGGATCGATGAAGGGATAAATGGATGGATTAATGAAAAGAAATTGATAGATGGATAAATGGATCAATATTTAGATAAATTGATGAAAATAGAAATAGACGGATGGATGAAAATAGAAATAGCTGGCTGGATAAATGGATAAATGGTTGAAAAATAAATGGATGAATGGATGAAAAAAGAATTGAGTGGATAGATTTTTGACAATGCAGATAATGCTGAAACATTGTAAGATCTGTCTCTCAACATCACATATTTTATTCTCTCAGAACCCCCTTCATCTCTCTCTCTCTTTCTCTCTCTCACCCCATCGTGCCGGCATGCGGCCCGTCTCCATGACAACAACTCAGGTCAGCTCTGAGAGGTGGGAGGTAGTTAGTGTGAATTTTTTTGTTGTTGTTTTATTGCCTCTTTCTCTCTCTCTCTCACAGTCTCTCTCTTTCTGGTCTCTGTGAGACAGCAGCTGTGTGTGACAGCTTCACTAGAGGCTGGAGGTTTCCTCAGTTTGCCTCAAATTCAAGAAAACAATGCAGTAAAGCGACGCGGCTCTGCCTCACAGCGTCTTTGTGGCTCGTCTCCCATCAAAAGATGCTGGGGAGGGGGGGCTGTGTCAGCGGCCATGTTTCTGTTAATGTGAAATGAATGCGTGCGTCTCGAGGGAAAACACTAATATATGCGCGACCATGAACCAGCACGTGTGATATAGGGGTGCCGTTGAAAGCAGGTCCCTCTGTCACTCTTTCTGCTGATATACGGCATGGCTTTGTGTTTGCACAGAGCCAATAATGTTTAGAAATCCCAGTGGTCTTTGGAATAACAAATGTTTTGTGTTTTTTGCCTTTTTTATTGGAATGTACCCACTTTTTGGTGCATCTGTGAACTGCAAGACTTTTGTCCTTTAATTATAATGTCCTTCAGTGTTCCTCAGATTAGCACAAACTTAAGTCCCTCGCTTTGTCATATAAGAGCTCCTCTTTTAACGATGGCATTGTTTTTTTTTTACAGCATCCACACTATTCTGAGCTGCTGACATCTGGTCGGAACCGGAGAATCCACTCTTTCATACAGTCGAAACAGGTAAGATGCTTTTTGTTTGATTCCCACTGGCTTTTTGATGTATTCATTGTGATTCAGTGGCCGTCTCAGACAGAGAGAGGAATAGAGCAGAGGCATAAAAAGAAAAAAAGATGAAAAAGAATGAGTGATGTGTTTTTATGATTTATGACTTGCATATCCCTCTTCACTTCACCAAGATTAACTAAAAAACTGTTACTGACATTTTTTTGGCTGCTTGCACACACTGATGTGTGCTGACAGATTGTTATCATGTTGAAAGCTGGGAAATGTGTCTTGTTTGAGGTTTGACTAGTGCAGTTGTGTTCATGATCTTTGATTATTTACTATGTCTTTTATTCTATACTAAAATGGATTTTGTAATGAAATCATTTAAAGCAGAGGTGGCCTAACTTGTTAATATGAAGGGCCAAAAAAGTCATACCTGATTGAGGACTGTGGGCCAAAAGCAAATGTTGCATTATATCCAACAGTATTATATTTAAAAAAAAATTTAAATTAATTAAATGAAACTCATTTAAATTATTTTTTTGTCAAATTAACTTAAGCAAATGTTAAAGGGATAGTTCACCCAAAAATTCTGTCATTAATTACTCACCCTCATGTCTTCCAAACCCGTAAGACCTTCGTTCATCTTCGGAACACAAATTAAGACTAAAATATATTCCCAGGTCCAGAAACGTAGTGAGGACATCGGTAAAACAGTCCATGTGACATCAGTGGCTCAACTTCAGTTTTGCGAAGCTACGAGAATACTTTTTGAGCGCAAAGAAAACAAAAATAACAATTTATTTAACAATTCTTCTCCCCCGAGTTACATCTTCCGCCATTTTGGAGAGTACCCAAGAGCGTAATCGACATAATCAGCATTGTTTACATTCGGGGGAGAAAGCGTGCGCATGAACGTAATCTGCGTAATCAGCATGGTTTACGTTAGGAGGAGAAAGCGCGCGCATGAACGTAATCTGCGTATGTATTGGATGTCGATCCAAACCTATTTTCTTTTGTGTAACACAAAATGAGAAATTTCAGAGAATGTGAGGCTGCTCTTATCCTTCAATAACAAGATTGGGGTACCAGAGCTGGTGCTTTAAAAGATTCTGAAAGACCCAAAAGAGTCCTAAGTATCATAAAAGTGGTCTTCTGAAGTAATTCTGTATGATAGCTTTGTTTGAGAAATGGTGACGATTAATTCAGTAACCGCTGCAACTAAATCAAGTTAGTTAACTTAAGAACTGGATCATTGGTGAATGAATCTTTCCGAGATTTTGAATTGGAAAAGTTCATTGAATAGGTCTGAAAGCTTCAGTCGCAATTTGTCATAATTGCATGGAAATTAGTGAAAGCATTCTTCAAAAATTCTCATTCTGCATTCATATGGTCTTGGTTTGGAAAAACATTTTTTGTGTAAACTATCCTTTTAACTAATTTTTAGATATAATAGATATAACGAAAGAGGACATTCAGATTCAGCATAGTAGCTAAAAGTGTAAAGTACACTAAAACATAGTAAAATCAAATGTACACATTGTAGGGAAAACAAAACTTGAAAGTGCTGATCAGTAAATGTGCTGAATCTGCAAGTTGAAGCAGTATATGCTGTTCTTTTATCCAACGTGTTCGATTTAGCCTCTGAGGGCACAAACTGGTTGTCAGCAGGAAGTGAGACACTTCCTACAAAAAAATCCAATCAATCAATAAAACCTTATATAATCTAATCTTATTTAATTTAGGGAAAATATATCTGGTTCTGTGGGAAAATGATGAATCGGTATATGAATCTGTAGAAATCAAAGTTGTAGACATGTTGTAAAATGCCAACTTTTCAAGCTAGTCGCTTATTTTCATTGTGGTATGCCTGTATTTATGTAACACCGTGGTCCTGTGAGGCACGACATTTCGTTCCACTGTATGTCCCCATATGCAGCAGAATGACAATAAAGCTCAACTTGACTTGAACTTGACTTATTTTGAGATAATCCAGAATCCTTCATATTCCAGCCAAGACTAATGTATTAAACACACACACACACACACACACACACACACACACACACACACACACACACACACACACACACAACTTCTTGTTCTAGAAGAGTCCTGCAAGCTGTGATTTCACGCTTGTGGACACATCGAGAGGCCAAAAATAGAGCTGGTCAAAATCCACAAATCTTCACGCAAACATCAGCACAAGCACCAACAGAGGGTTATTATTTTGAGATAATCCAGAATACTTCATAAAACACACACACACACACACACACACACACACACACACACACACACACACACACACACACACACAACTTCTTGTTCTAGGAATGCAAGTGATAGTGGTTCAAAAGCAGTGAAGTGCATGTGATTTGTTGAATACATGTTTTACATGCTGATACTATGATGAAAACTATGTGTTCTAAAGATTTAACTTGAAATGAATAGACTGAATTTGATTATTTCCTAATGATGATCCCTGCTGTGCTTAGGCATTACTGAGAGCGTCTGGCCCCGTTAGAGCAGATATACAGACGGGGTGCTTCAGAGCTCAGCTGTGTTTAGGAGGAAAGAGCCGATAGAAATAGACAGTGATCTCATGAGCATGATGCTGCTGCTGCTGCTGGGAAGTTGATTTTGTGACGTACAATGCTGTCAACTTTTTTTTGGTTTGTTTGTGTGGACTGAGACACATTTTGTGACATATTTTCATGATGATTCTTCTTTATAAGCCTTTTGGTTTTACTTAAAAGAATAATTGATGGCAGATTTTTCATTTTTGGCTCATTTACTCACCTTCATGTGATTTAAAGTCTGAATGACTTTCTTCCGTAAAATGTGCATGCTGCTTTTTTCCACTAAAGTGAATGGTGACCACCAGATTTTCAGTGAATGATTACCTCAAGCATAATAAAAGAATGTATTTTGTGTTATATTCCAAGACCTTTTGATTTAAATTTTTCTGGTGAACTATCCCTTTAATCTGTCTGTGATGCAGATTTGAACTCTGGCTTTATGACTACAGCTAAATGTATTTCCTGGAAATTCTGTTCTTGCTTTCACAAAGGGATTCAATGGCATGACAAGTGTTACATCATTGCACATTTTGAACTGTGTAATGGTAGTGATATTAGCACATACTGTAAAAGCTCCTGTTCACCCACATACAGCATGTGGACAGATGACCACAGTTTATCTGAGCGCCGAACAGATGGAACAGAGAGAGCAGTGTGCCAACCCATCCTTTCCTCCGGTATTAGCTAAAATAAACTGTGAAGACAGATTTTATACAACAAAGTGTAGAAATAGAATAGTATGCGTGTTTAAAAAATGTAATTCATTCAGTTATTCATTCAGTCACTCATTCATTTAATAATGCATGTAATATTTAAAAATAAAGTATGGTATATTATAAACAAAAACGGAACTGGTTCTGTTTTGGAAACATATTTTAAAATGATCTTAATTTACAAAAAATGCATTATTAAGAACCAGTTCTTGATCCTTTCCTCCATATTCTCTCAAATACATAGTGAAAAGAGATTTTATAGAATCAAAAATGCAATGTAATCAAAAAAAGAAAAGTATGTGTTAAAACAGTATTTATTTATTTATTTAAAGTTTCCCAAGTTTCCACATTGCGATTTTAGAGTGTGTTATTTATGTCTAAAGTGAATAGTTCTGCTCTGAGTGGTTCGGGTCACACTGTATTTCCAGCTTAACTGAACTATAAACAGCATAAAGCAACAATACACTTCGTGAGTTGCCAGACAGGAGCTTGCTGACAATCAGCAACTTCCCAAAGCTCAGGAGAGAAAGAACGCTCTCTCATTCTGCAAGAACGAGTGACCTTTTAGCTGTAGATAACCTCACACCAGCGCAGTGCTAAATGAAGTTAGCTCATTTATTTAGATAGTAACGCTATGCTAACTCCCGCCAGTGACCTTCTGAAACAATGCGAGCTGTGGTTTAGCATTATCTTGCTTCTGAAAAACGTCAGTTGTTGGTTTTTGAGCACAACAACACGGTAATGGCTAGGGCTGGGTTTTGACACAAATTTCACGATTCGATTCGTTTCTCATTTACAAGCTTTCGATTCGATTACCGATTCGATTCAATATCGATTATTTTGCAGATATATCAGGTACAGTACATGCCAAATTTTCTCAAGGAAAAAAATCTCTCAACTAATGCTGTAAAATATACATGAGAGTCAGTTGGTACTACATTATAATATTGAAGGTTAAAATTGATTGCTGTACAACTGCTTAAATTGCACTTAATAAAGTTTTTATAATAATTAAGTTACAATGACTTCAGTTAGTTTTTTTTAAATACACTTAAATAGTGGCTGTCATAAAAACTTGGACGGATTTATTCAAACATAAATAAAACATTAAAGAACAGTAAAAAATTATAATGAATGTTATATGGTGCATATATTTAGCAAAATGCCCCTCTCTACAGCTTATTTTTCTAACTTAGATGACTAACGAGTTTATGGTCACCGAATATGCTTTCTGAGGTAAATGTGATGTTACACGAATTGTTTACAAGCTGTTATATTGACGTCTTTGCGCGGCTGAAACACATGAGACAGGATACGGATTGTAAAGTTGTACTCTTTCTTTTAACTTACCTTCGGCTGTTTAGTCATGATTATTTTGTGCTGAAGCTGGTATTAATATGGAGGAGATGATCAGTTCATGTGCGCCTCGCGCTGCTGCATCTGTTGAACTGAGGTGCTATAGCGATCTATCACTCCACATTAAACAGCGTCAAAATTACATTTATTGTTTGAATACTGCAATACAATGGACATAAATTGAAATCTGAGACTTTGTTTCATATTAATAGTACCAACGCACAATGCTTATTACGATTTATTGGATGGATTTATTGGTGTGCTTTAATGTTCCATCCATTAACTGAAAACAGGCTAGACTAATCGATTCTTGGGATTTAAGAATCGATATCGTTTTGTAAAAATGAGAATCGATTAAAATGGA